TGGGTTGGGATGTTTTCATGATGCACATTTTCTTTACATAAAACTCTCTCTTATACATGAGTTGCTGAGGATTTGTTTCTCTGAAGTACCCAGACTAATACACCTAGTTAAGCAAGGGCTCCGATCCATTTCTCTAGGCCAGGGGCCGGCACTGTTTCTAAAGTCCGGGGGTCAAGAGTCAGTACCGGGGAACCACAGGATGTGCTGTGACCTCTCAACTCTGTCCTCAGTCTGACCAGAAGGGCGTGGCTCCGTGCAGCCACATCTGAAGTGCATATGCGTTCCATGTGTCACCACGCAGTCTTCTTTTGATTCTTTGTACCCCTATGAGTACATCAACACCGTTCTCAGCTCACGGACCACATGAAAACAGGAGGAGTCCCTGATCCCTGCTCCAGGCAGTGAGGGACCAGGAAGGCTTGTCACAGGAGACAGACACAGTGGGCAGGTCTTCAGAAGGTCTTCCTGGAGTGGTCAGCAGGAAGCCAGGATCCCCCAATCTGGACAAGCGGGCACACTGGTTGCTGCGGCTCTGCTCACTGCAGCATGCCCACCACCTGCCACCGCGGTCTGAGGAGTCCGCCATTTTCCCGCCTTCAGCTCGAAGGCCCACTTCGGGCAGCCCAGCACGGCCCCCCCTATTTTTCTTTCTTTAAAACCGTTCTTTAAAAAAAAGTTCTTATCCTTTGCCCGTTTTCTTTTCTTTAAATCATTTTATTGGGAGCTCTTACATATAACATTCCATAGTTCAATCACATCAAGTAGTATTGTAAAATTTCAGCCACAATCAGTTAAACAATATTTTCTTTTTTCTTTTTTTTTATTTTCTTTTTTCTTGAGCTCCTTGATATCAGCTCCCCTTTTCCCCCCTCCCTCCCCCACCATACCACCTAGGAACCCTTATCCTTCTTTGTTTTCTTTTTCTTTCTTTTTTTCCAATAAAAGCAGGGTGGCTTTACTGCAAGGAAGCAAGAGAGGCATCGGATGAGTGAGGGTCTCCACAGGAACTCATATCACCGAGCAGGGCTGCTGGTCTTTCTGGAAGCCAGGACAGGAGAGGATCAGCCAACCTGCCCTTTGAGGGCTCCTATTGAAGGGCATCAGTGGAATCTAACTGAGTTCTCCAGAAAGGCTCTCTGGGGACCTAGCCCCTTGTGGCAGCTCCAAAACAGATTTCTTCATCCTGTGGGTCAGGGGCCTGGCCTGTGCTACTGGGGACCAAGGTAGGACCCGGTTTCCTCCGTTTTCTTCAGGGTCTCCAGCAGAGTGTCCACGCTGTGCTCCGAGTCCACGCAGACCTTCTTGTTGGGCAGGTCGATGTCAACCTGAACCCCTCCCAGCTTGTTGAGGACTCGACTGACCTCACAGGCCATGTCCACGGAGAACACGTGTTTCGGCAAGATGGAAGGTGGTGACAGCGGTCCTCCAGGTCGGTGGGTAGGGGTTCGGTCTCCCCCTTCTTTGTTTTCTATAATAGTTTTCCCCCCATATCTTACACAGTCCAATATATTCATTCACATACAATTCTGTTTTCCAATACCGTCGAGTGGAATTATACAATCAATGCTATGAGCTACCCCCACCCCCACTTCCTGTGCCCTCAGGGAAGTATTACTCCTGTTACTGTTTCTGTATCTTGACTTTCATGTACCAAATGATCTTACATCTACACATGAACATGCACAAATCTAACATACTTAATGAGGTATAAAAAAATAAAAACCATAAGAGTAAGGGGAAGAAGTATTAAATAACTAGTGGATAGCTATGTGGTTCATCAGTGCCATATCACACTCAGGATTTATCATCTCTTCCTTGTGGCCCTTCTGAGAGGGAATGCTCAGTTATCTGACAGGTGGGTTTGGGGTCTCCACTACTCCTTTGGTAATTTTCTAGTTAAATGTTTTCTTATTAATATGCAAGATTCACTACATCTGAAGGACTAGGAAGAGAGCTCCCCAAATCATTCTCCTTAGTAAGTAAAAGACATAACCATAGGGCAGGGAACGAAGAGGGAAAGGTTCCGAAGAGGCAGTTCACGGAAGAGAATATCACGGCCCATCTCTACAAGCATGAAGAGACATTCAAGGCCTCTGAAGGAGCTCAACAGGAAAACAAAACAGGTAAAAAAAACAGGCAGTTTTTTCTTTTTCTCTGATCATACTCTACTGGTTTAAAAAGAACGACATAATCTCCCGGCATGTTTTCTGACATGGATGTGGGGGGCGCCCTTTGATAGATCCCTGTTTGAACGGATGCCTCCTGGGTGCAGCCCTGCGAGGGCTCCTATTGAAGGGCATCAGTGGAATCTAACAGTTCTCCAGAAAGGCTCTCTGGGGACCTAGCCCCTTGTGGCAGCTCCAAAACAGATTTCTTCAGTGACCTTGGGTATAGACTTTCGGTGCCTGATTTGCCTTTTAGAACAGCAAGGAGGACAAGACCTACTTTTTCTCAGGTGTCACAGAAATGTGATCAAGATTAATGGCCTCGCATAGAAACGGTGTCCAGCTGCTTGAAAGAACAGGCTCGTTAGTCAATGCCTGAATCTATATAGCTGGTAGAAATCAGTCTAATTCAGTTACTTTGGGGGAAAGGGGTCATGTAAAACCACACAACTTGCTGAGTGTTTTAAAATGACCTAATACAATGTTTTCCAAAATGCCCTTAAGACTGATCCTGTTAACTCAGACTCCAAGAATTAATTGCATCTTCTGTTGTGTAGACTGGGAAGTTGTGTACAATATTAACTATTCCATATGATGTTGCTCGAGTTCCCATGTATGCGTACTCAGGGTTACACAACAGTTATTGAATTGGCGTAAGAAACACTGAAACATTTAAAAATGGCTTTGTTGCACCACGTTTTGTGCTCTGATAGTGCAACATGTGTTTTTATTCTAAAATAACATGAACTTTTCCGGGTTTTTGCAGCATCAGGTGGAAGATTTTTAACACATTTGTCATAGAAAATCTATGTGTTTTTTTTCTTTATTTATTTCAACTTAAACCATGTACAAGTTTTTGATCCAAATTTTGTTAGTAAATGCAATTAAATCACACCATATTTAACCAACCACCCTGTATTCTTATGCACAGAGTTTTGTTTAAATAGATTTGATTAAAAAACCACCATGATAATAATGCTATCTGGCAAGCGTTATACTTTATTTATTTAGCTTATTTCACCCTCACAAGTGACTCTCCATTTATAGATAAGAAAACCGAGACTTGAGGAGTGCAGTCACTTATACAAGGCCTTGAAGACGTCTCAGTCTGAACTGAATAGGCATCCAGACTGCTGCCCCTTCCTTCTTTCGCTTGAGATGCAGTTGAATGTCTCTCACATTGCCTGTAAGTAGCTTATTAAAATGCAATTCTGATAATGCCACTGCCCGGCTTGAGAGTCTTACTTCTAGAAGAGTGATTCTCACTCGAGATATGAGTCCCAGACCTTTGGCATCAGCATCACCCAGGAACTTATAGTCGTTGTCCACTGACACCGAATCATGCTCAACTCATGGTGACCTCATGCACAATGGCATCACATCATTGTGATCCATAGGGTTTTCACGAACTGATGTAGATTGCCAGGTCTTTCTTCCTAGCCTCAGTCTAGAAACTGCCCAAACCTGTTCAACATCACCAAGGCAAAACCAAGCTCACTATCATTGAGTCAATTCCAACTCATAGTGACCATGTAGGACAGAGCGGAATTGCTCATTGGGATTTCTGAGACTAAATCTTTACAAGAAAGGAAAGCCTCAGCTTTCTTCCCAGGAGTAGTTGTAGTCAGCAGCCAATGCAAACTTCCACTAACCGAGAAGAGGTGACTGAGGCACATTGGCCAGGAATTGAAGACTACTCTCCAGCATGGAGAAACGCTACTTCCCCAAACCAGTTGCTACTGAGTCTAATTCCACTTGCAGTGTCCCTACGTGTATTAAAGTAGAGCTGTACCCCATAGGGGCTTCAGGGGCTGATTTTTCAGAAGTTGGTTGTCGGGCCCTTTCTTCTGAGTCAATTTTGGAGGGACTCAAACCTCTAATCTTTTACTTAGCTGTCTACAACATTGACTGTCCCACCCCCCAGGGATGCTAGGAACATGTTAGAACACAAATTCTCAAGCTCCATGCCATATGTAAAATAGGGATGATGCTAAATGGTAATTGCTAATTTGTTGTCATGAGGATCAAATGAATTCATTCATATGCATAGGGCACTCAGAGCAGTGTGCGGCACACGGCAAGAATTCTGTTTTTGTCGTTGTTGGGTGCCATTGCGGACGTCCCAACTCACAGCAGCCCTGTGTATAAGAGAAAGAACCACTGCTTGGTCTTGTGCCATCTTGAACATTGTTCTTATGTTGGAGCCCATTTTGCTGCCACTGTGCCAGTCCGTCTTGTCAAGGGCCTTCCTTGTTTTTGCCGCCCCTCTGCTTTACAAAGCAAGAGATCCCTCTCCAGGGGCTAGTAGTCTCTGCTGTCAACATGTCAAAAGTACACGAGAATGCATCCGGCCATCCTTGATTCTAAGGAGCACTCTGGCTGTACTTCTTCCAAGACAGATTGGTTTGTCCTTTCGGCAGACCACGGTCCTTCAGTATTCACCAGCACCATAATTCAAATACATCAGCTCTTCTTCGGCCTTCCTTATTCAGTGCCCAATTTTCACACGCATATGAGGCGATTGAAAAGATCATGGCTTGAGTCAGGCTCACCTTAGTCCTCAAAGTAACATCCTTGTTTTTCAACACTTTCAAGAGCTCTTGTCCAGCAGATTTACTCAAAACAACACATCATTTGATCTCTTGACTGCTGCTTCAATGAGCACTGATTGTAGATCCAAGCAAGATCTTGACAAGCTGAATCTTTTCTCTATTTATCATGTTCCTTCTTTGTCTAATTGAGAGGATTTTGGTCTTCTTTGCACTGAGTTGTAATCCATACTGAAGGTCGGAATGCTTGGTCTTCGTCAGCAAGTGCTTCAAGTCTTCTGTGTCATCTGCATATCACAGGTTGTTAATAAGACTTCCTCCAATCCTGATGCCATCTTTTCCTTCAAATGATCCAGCTTCTGAATGATTTTCTCAGCATACAGATTAAGTACGGCGAGAAAAACAACCCTATGGACACCTTTCTTGCTTTTAAGTCATGCAATCTTCCCTTGTTCTGTTCACACAACTGCCTCTTGATCCATGTACAAGTTCTGCATGAGCACAATGAGAATTCTCATTCTCTCAAGACTGTCCATACTTGTTTAGCTCCACACAGTTGAATACCTTGACATAGCCAATAAAACAGCAAGTTCACATTTTTTTCTGGTATTCTCTAGATCCATCTAATGTCAGCGATGATATCACTTATTCCGCAACCTCCTCTGAATTTGGCTTGAACCTCTGGCAGCTCCCTGTCAATGTACTGCTGCAATCGCATTGGGTATTCTACAGCAACATTTTACTTGCATGGGAGCATTCTGTTGGGTAGCCTTTCTTTAGAATGTCAGTTGACCAAATACCTGTTGTATTAGTCTAGGTACTTTGTAGAAACAAATCCACAGCAACTCACGTATAAGAGAGAGTTTTATACAAAGAAAATGTGCATCACGAAAACATCCCAACCCAATGCTGCCCAAGCCCACAAGTCCAACATTAACCCATTAACCCAACACCAGTCCACAAAGTCCTTCACCTCACAAAACAGAGGCAATGATGCCGACTGCAGGAGGAAAGCTGAGTCAGTGAACGTGTAAGCATCTCAGCGCTGGCAGGGGTCTCCACATGGCTGCTCCAGCACCCAGGGCTGCATCAGGATAGATCCATGCGGCTTCTCCTTGGGGATGTCTTGTAGGAAATCCATCTTGCAAGCTGAAGCAGGGAACTGCTAAGGCAGCTACACCCGACGCAACCATCACAAAACAAGAGACCCGAGAACTAGAAAGGCGAAGCTTCACCACCCATTTATCCCTCCGCCTTTCAACCAGCACCACATGTGATTATCGGCCAGGGTGGCACAATTAACTAACTCACCTGTCTTCCAAAGTTTCCCTGGTATTGATGAGTGAGTGCTTTCAGTATTTCATCAACTTGCTGAAACATTTCACTTGATAGTCTATAAATTCCTAGAGCCTTGGTTGTTTTGTTTTGCTTTTAGATAATGCTCTCAATGCAGCTTTAACTTCTTCTTTCAACCCCATTGGTTCTGGTTCATATGGACTTCTTGAAATGGTTGAATACTGACTAGTTCTTTTTGATACAGTGACTCTATAGTCTTTCCCTCTTCTTTTGATACTTCCTGCATCATTCAGTAGTTTGCCCGTGGAATCTTTAATATTGCAGGTATTCTTGGAATACATTATTATCTTTTCTGGCTGTATTAGTTTCCTGCTATAACAGGCTGCTATAACAAATAGGAGTGTTGGTGGTATAGTGGTTATATGTTGGGCTGTTAATCACAAGGCCAGCAGTTCAAAACCACCAGCCACTCAGTCGGAGAAAGAGGAGACTTTCTACTTCCATAAAGAGTTATAGTCTCTGAAACACACAGGGGGCAGTTCTATCCTGTCCTATAGGGTTTCTTTCCTATTCTTCTTCTTTTTTTTTTCTGTAACAAATTACCACACTTTTTTGGGTAGCTTTAAACAAGAGGCACTTATTTGCTGATGGTTCTGAAGACCAGAGGTCAGATTCAGATTCAGTTGGCAGGGTCACATAACCACTCCCAAACTGACAGCAGAATCCCTGACAACGTCTAGTAGCTGTCAGCCTTCTGTTGCTTGTGGCCACATCACCCCAGTCTCTGTGGTAGACTTCCCATAGCCTTTGCTTCTGTGTGAATGGAATCTCCCTCTTAGTGCCACTTGCCATTGATTCAAGGCCTGTCCAGCTGATCCTGGGTAATACCCCAAGCCAAGATCTTGACTTTAATCCCATCTGCAAAGACTCCTCTTCCTTACAAGGTATCCTTTCCAGCTTCTATGAATGAAGACCTGATATTTCTGGTCATTTTTCAGCCTACACACTCATGCTATCCTGTCTACGTATAGTACCCTTTCCCCTCCCAATTTCTTCCTCCTGCTGGGGACTAAATTTAGGACTTGCCTCCCCTGGGAAGCCTTCTATGACTTCCACAGTGCAAGATTCATTGCAGCTCCTCTGTGTCCACATAATGTGCGGTACTTACCTCTGTCACTATTTCATACTGTTCCCATCTCATGCTCTATGGTGTTTGCCTGTGAGTTTTCCTTGAGACTATGTAGCTGTTCTGATATTCTCCATACAAACCTGTAATCCAGACTCACTGCTGTCGGTTAAGTCACTTCCGACTTCTAGTGACCATACAGGACCGAGTAGTAAGGACTGCTCCATAGGGTTTCAAAGCTGTAAACCCTAATGGAAGCAGAGCCCCTGGCTTATTTAAAGTACCAAACTTTCTGGTCAGCAGCCTGATGCTTAACAGCACCAAGACTAGTTTTTTAAAAAATCATTTTATTGAGAGATCGTACAACTCAT